GCAAACCTCCGGCCCTCCATCTGCGGTGGAACTACAAATCCCATGAGGGATTGCAAGGTTCTCACAGCCACGACTCCCGGAGAGAGGTGCATCATGGGATTTGTAGTTTCACCTAAGCTGGAGGGCCGGAGGAGGTTTGCTACCCCTGGTTTACTGCTTCTGCCTTTCAGCACTGGGGGGTCCCTGGGTCGAATCCAAGCCGGGACACTATCTGCATGGAGTTTGTATGTTCTTCCCGTGCTTGCGTGGGTCTCCTCCCACACTCCAAAGACATGCTGGAAGGGGTAATTGGCCCCCGTCTGTAACTGGCCCATGTATGTATGTATGTATGTATGTATGTATGTATGTATGTATGTATGTGAGATGGGGACCTTAGATTGCAAGCTCCTGAAGGGCGGGGACTGATGTGAATGTGCACTGTGTAAAGCACTGCGTAAATTGTCGGCGCTGAATAAATACCTCAACTATGAACATTTGTGTATCACTCGGGTGTAGATCCTCCAATCATCTCTGATCACCGTCCTTCCTCCTGGAGGGGTGACTACGTCTGTTCCCCATGTCCCTGTGTGTGTTGTATAGTAGTCACCGCTCCAAGCTCCTCCCCCGGGATGGACTACAATCTCAGGTTTAGTTTACTGATTTGTATTTGTATAGAGATTGTAGTCCATCCATGTGTTGTAAAGTAGTCACCGCTCCAAGCTCCTCCCCCGGGATGGACTACTCAGGTTTAGTTTACCGATTTGTATAGAGATTGCAGTCCATCCATGTGTTGTAAAGTAGTCACCGCTCCAAGCTCCGCCCCCCGGGATGGACTACTCCGGTTTAGTTTACTGATTTGTATAGAGATTGCAGTCCATCCATGTGTTGTAAAGTAGTCACCACTCCAAGCTCCGCCCCCCCGGGATGGACTACTCAGGTTTAGTTTACTGATTTGTATAGAGATTGCAGTCCATCCCGGAGGGGGCGGAGCTTGGAGTGGTGACTACTTTACAACACACAGGGACCACGGGGAACAGACGTAGTCACCCCTCCAGAAGGAAGGACGGTGTCGGAGATGATTGGAGGATCTGCAGCCGAGTGACACACAAATAAGATACATTGTTGCTCAGAGTTCAGGGACTCGGATGGATTTGTAAGATTGAACTCCGGCGTTTAGTGTCCCTTTAACAATGAACGTTCAGAACCGGAGCGCTCCATGTTAACGGGGAGAGAGAGAGAGAGAGTAACAGTCATCGGGGGAACTTACTTGAAGTGATCTTGTAAGGCCACATTGAAGTCGAACGCGTCTCCTCTGTCCGCAAACCCCACCCCAATGAACGCCCGTCGCCCTGATAGAGCAGAGTGTCAGACACGGATGATGCCACAAGACTCTTCTACATACACAGCGCACATGAGGAGACACTCACCGTTCCCGTCCTCGATGCAGATCACAAAATATCGGCTGGAGTCGGTGACGCTTTCCACCGCGATGCCGGGAAACTGCTCCACCGTGGCCTGAGCGAACAGCTCACCTGCCGAGGAGAGAGGACGGACAGCGTGACTTGCCGGCTCGCCGTGTGCTGCAACGTTATCAGCTATCGCCGTGCTGGTGGTTTCCCCTTTCACTAAACTTTATTTATTACGTGCGGCAGAACATTGGAACACGCGGCACAAAAATGTAACTTTTAGGGATGCACCGCTATAATCGGCCGAAAGTGACATTTTCCTGCCGATACGTCGGCGCATCCGTGCTTTCTCTCCTCCGCCTTTGTGTCCCAGCGGGGAGGAGAGAAAGTGTGACAGCCGGCTGAGCGCTGCGGGAGGAGAGCGCTGTGAGCAACCGGCGTCTCTCCTCCCTCACCGCTCAGCCTCTTATCACAGTCCGGCGTGTCAGAGAGGAGAGTGAGTACAGGCAGTCATGTGATCACTGAGTGTTTGTATATAATTGACAGAGTACGGTTACTATATCCTCAATTATGAATGAATGGGAAGTGATCTACATCACTTCCTGTTCATTCATGATTGTGGTTATAGTAAACATACTCTGTCCTCGTGTTATCAATGAACACTCAGTATAAAGGATTCGTGTTCATTGATAACAGGGGATACAAAAAAAAAAAAAAAAAAAAGATTGAGGGCTCTGTGCGCGTCTCCGAGGGCTCTTTTTCCATTTTAAAAAGGGAAATATCAGGGGTCTGTTTAGCCCTTAAAAGTGAAGTAAAAAATAAAAAAGTTTCTAAAAAATAAAATATGTTAAAAAAAATAAAACATGTTTGGTTTTTTTCTGCCTGCTAATTTTCTTTTATTTCGGTTTTGAAATTTCCATTTCGGTGCACCTCTGGTAATTTGTCTTATTTTCACGCCACTGGGCGGACCCAGACAGTAATGTCGGGATCCACTTCGGCGTCTCAGTAGCGAGCTGTAGCTCCCTATATACTGAGCCTAGGGTGACGGGAGGACGCTAGTTTGTGTCCTCCCGTTACCCTAAGGAGAACTATGGGGGAAAACACTGACCCCGTAGTTCTCCTTTAATGAACTCAGGGTGACAGGTCCGCAGGGTGACAGGTCCCCCCCATCGGCACATAACACTGAGCTCTCCCTAGATTCGGGGTCTGTGTCAGCACTGTGACACATAAGCATTGCTCTGCCTCTTCCGAGTCCTCCTGTCATGGCGGATCTTCACCCACAGTGTGTATACGGGGAGAGGATGGCAGCCGCTCTGTGCGGTGGGTAAGGAGAGGATGTGTAGGAAGGAAGCGAGAAACAACAAGGGGGAAATCACGAGATATCTGACAAGTGGGAATAGCTGAACTCGTCCTGACTGCACAGCCCGGGGGGGGAAGGGAGCAAGGGGGGGGGCAGGTAACACCCCAACCTCTCACTTCCTCATCGCTCTCTGGGAGGACCTGACTCAGCACTTCCAGATGGAATTCAGCAAAAATCACAAGACTGACTCTGCACCTTGTATATCACACGGCCTGTGACAACCAATCAACATCTTCCTTTCAGCATCTAAAAAGCAATTTAGCTGAATGAAAGAGAGAAAATGATTGGCCGCTATGGGCAAGAGGAGAGCTTCTTCCGGCTGTAACGCAGATAAATACAAACAAGGCGTCTCATCATTAAGGGGACTAGAAAAAGAAGGTAACGGCATAAAATGTATAACCAGCCTTTGTAGCAGGGTGCACATGGGAAGGCTGACAACAATACACGAAGAATCCCCAGCACACCTGCAACAAAACAAATTACCCGTCTAAATATGAAGAAGCCGCACTGCCACCGTCAAGGCACCTCTGTGAAGTGCGGTCCTAACTCGATTTATACGAGTCTCCTAGTGGGAGCATATTGATGCAGTCCATAAATTAAATGCAGGTGTACCAGGAGGCAGCCTTCTCCTCCTCACTTGGTGCAGGGACCCAGCGGAGGCCCAGCACCCACAAATGCATACTGGGATCCCCCCAATGCGTCGATGGAGCCAGCTGTCACTCACGCAGCTGGGCGGATCCAGACGTCGATGTAGGGATCCGCTCCGGCTGCGGCGGTCTCAGTATACCGCGAGCTGTAGCCCCCTATATACTGAGCCTAGGGTGACGGGAGGACGCTAGTTTGTGTGCTCCCGTTACCCTAAGGAGAACTATGGGGAGAAGCCCTGACCCCATAGTTCTCCTTTATCGACAGCATCAATATGCTCCCACTTGGAGACTCGTATAGGACCACACTTTGCAGAGGAGCCTTGAAGGTGGCAGTGCGGCTTCTACTTATTTCTGGCAAAAGTTTTGTGCAATGAAAATCTCTGTTGTTAACACATACTGTTAGACGGGTCATTTGTTTTGTTGCAGGCCATCTGGCAGGTGTGCTGGGGATTCATTGTGTCTTGTATCATCATTAAAGGGCCCTCAGAATGTGTATGGGGGGGGCTATAGACTATATACAGCTGGTATATAATATATAAGAGAGAAGACAGAGGTATACGGTAAGTGTATAGAGTACATAATGTATACAGGGGTAATACACAATATGGGAGCATATACTGACCCGTGAGTTGGTCCTCCCAGTATACAGTATATCTGGGTATAGTACATACTGCAGCTCCGTCCACCACTGGCTTCAGAAGGTGGGCCCTCGATTGTCGGCGGGCCAGCGACGAGTGAGGGAGATCACGTCGAGGAGTAGAGCAGCGGCGTGCGCGGCTTCAGCGTCCTGTGCGGTGGGCGTGGCTTACGCGGCCGGTGGCGTGGGCACGGCGGGGGGGGGGGGGGGGAGACACTATATATAGTTGATATTTTGGTAGTATACAGTGGATTTAGATTAGAAAATAGACCTGAGTTTCGGTGATCGAGAGCGATAGAGGAGGTCCGGTCTTCTCTGTATATAGAGGGGTATACAGACCTGTGGTCCGGTGCTCCCTGTATATAGAGGGGTATACAGACCTGTGGCTCAGTCCTCCCAATATATAAAAGGGGATATACAGTAGGATATATACAGACCTGTGGCTCGGTCCTCCCTGTATATAGAGGAGGTATATAGGGGTATACAGTAGGATGTATACAGACCTGTGGCTCGGTCCTCCCTGTATATAGAGGAGGTATATAGGGGTATACAGTAGGATGTATACAGACCTGTGGCTCGGTCCTCCCTGTATATAGAGGAGGTATATAGGGGTATACAGTAGGATGTATACAGACCTGTGGCTCGGTCCTCCCTGTATATAGAGGAGGTATATAGGGGTATACAGTAGGATGTATACAGACCTGTGGCTCGGTCCTCCCTGTATATAGAGGAGGTATATAGGGGTATACAGTAGGATGTATACAGACCTGTGGCTCGGTCCTCCCTGTATATAGAGGAGGTATATAGGGGTATACAGTAGGATGTATACAGACCTGTGGCTCGGTCCTCCCTGTATATAGAGGAGGTATATAGGGGTATACAGTAGGATGTATACAGACCTGTGGCTCGGTCCTCCCTGTATATAGAGGAGGTATATAGGGGTATACAGTAGGATGTATACAGACCTGTGGCTCGGTCCTCCCTGTATATAGAGGAGGTATATAGGGGTATACAGTAGGATGTATACAGACCTGTGGCTCGGTCCTCCCTGTATATAGAGGAGGTATATAGGGGTATACAGTAGGATGTATACAGACCTGTGGCTCGGTCCTCCCTGTATATAGAGGAGGTATATAGGGGTATACAGTAGGATGTATACAGACCTGTGGCTCGGTCCTCCCTGTATATAGAGGAGGTATATAGGGGTATACAGTAGGATGTATACAGACCTGTGGCTCGGTCCTCCCTGTATATAGAGGAGGTATATAGGGGTATACAGTAGGATGTATACAGACCTGTGGCTCGGTCCTCCCTGTATATAGAGGAGGTATATAGGGGTATACAGTAGGATGTATACAGACCTGTGGCTCGGTCCTCCCTGTATATAGAGGAGGTATATAGGGGTATACAGTAGGATGTATACAGACCTGTGGCTCGGTCCTCCCTGTATATAGAGGAGGTATATAGGGGTATACAGTAGGATGTATACAGACCTGTGGCTCGGTCCTCCCTGTATATAGAGGAGGTATATAGGGGTATACAGTAGGATGTATACAGACCTGTGGCTCGGTCCTCCCTGTATATAGAGGAGGTATATAGGGGTATACAGTAGGATGTATACAGACCTGTGGCTCGGTCCTCCCTGTATATAGAGGAGGTATATAGGGGTATACAGTAGGATGTATACAGACCTGTGGCTCGGTCCTCCCTGTATATAGAGGAGGTATATAGGGGTATACAGTAGGATGTATACAGACCTGTGGCTCGGTCCTCCCTGTATATAGAGGAGGTATATAGGGGTATACAGTAGGATGTATACAGACCTGTGGCTCGGTCCTCCCTGTATATAGAGGAGGTATATAGGGGTATACAGTAGGATGTATACAGACCTGTGGCTCGGTCCTCCCTGTATATAGAGGAGGTATATAGGGGTATACAGTAGGATGTATACAGACCTGTGGCTCGGTCCTCCCTGTATATAGAGGAGGTATATAGGGGTATACAGTAGGATGTATACAGACCTGTGGCTCGGTCCTCCCTGTATATAGAGGAGGTATATAGGGGTATACAGTAGGATGTATACAGACCTGTGGCTCGGTCCTCCCTGTATATAGAGGAGGTATATAGGGGTATACAGTAGGATGTATACAGACCTGTGGCTCGGTCCTCCCTGTATATAGAGGAGGTATATAGGGGTATACAGTAGGATGTATACAGACCTGTGGCTCGGTCCTCCCTGTATATAGAGGAGGTATATAGGGGTATACAGTAGGATGTATACAGACCTGTGGCTCGGTCCTCCCTGTATATAGAGGAGGTATATAGGGGTATACAGTAGGATGTATACAGACCTGTGGCTCGGTCCTCCCTGTATATAGAGGAGGTATATAGGGGTATACAGTAGGATGTATACAGACCTGTGGCTCGGTCCTCCCTGTATATAGAGGAGGTATATAGGGGTATACAGTAGGATGTATACAGACCTGTGGCTCGGTCCTCCCTGTATATAGAGGAGGTATATAGGGGTATACAGTAGGATGTATACAGACCTGTGGCTCGGTCCTCCCTGTATATAGGGGTATACAGTAGGATGTATACAGACCTGTGGTCCGGTCCTCCCTGTATATAGGAGGAGGTATATAGGGGTATACAGTAGGATGTATACAGACCTGTGGCTCGGTCCTCCCTGTATATAGAGGAGGTATATAGGGGTATACAGTAGGATGTATACAGACCTGTAGTTCGGTCCTCCAGCTTGATGAAGGCGATATTACCCCGGGCGGTGATCCGGAGGCGCCCACTCCAGGCCGGTTGGTCCAGCTGCCATTCCGCTGCCCTGCATGATAGAGAGGGAGCGGTCAGAGCCCGCACACACCACCCGCCATCAAGGAGAAACCCCCCGCACTCACCGGTATCCCCGGTTGGAGGCCCGGGGTGGGATCCGGTAGACGTGCACTTCCGGCTTCACACAGAGCACCGATTCGTAATCGCTGTCTGCCATCTTCTTACACCCAGCAGCACTTCCGCTTCTCTCTGGCCAGCTGAGGATAGAGCTTCTCCTGCGCAGCACAATGTACTATCAGGTGATCGCGCCCCTGACAGAACAGTACAGCGCCTCCAGAGGTCAGCCGGGGGAAGCGCAGCCCTGCTCCCAACAGAGCTCAATGTAGTCAGTTGACAGCATTCCTCCGGATTAACAAACAGCTCCCCTAGTGGCCAGAGTGGGAAGCACCCGCGTCTTCCAGCACAGCGCCCCCTAGTGGCCAGGCTGGGAAGCGCACGCTTCTTCCAGCACAGCGCCCCTAGACGCCAGTGCGAGAAGTGCACTCCATCTCCACCAGAGCGCCTCTAGAGGCCACTCGGCGAAGCGCACCTCTTTATTTCCAGCCTACAATCACTGCCACAAACTCAGCTTGTCAAAGGGGAAGCTGCACAATACAAGGTTTCATATAACACTATAAATATAGAATAACCCCTTGTCACTGGACTGGGCAGTGATTACAGGTTGTCAGCCCCTGCTGTACTGCGTAGGAGACAGCTAGGCCATCGCGCACCATGGCAGAGCTTGGCCAATATGCAATCTTATATCATGTACACCCCCTCACTACAACATGCTAGTAGACCAGGGGTGGCCAAACTCCGGCCCTCCAGCTGTTGTGGAACTACAAATGCCATGAGTCATTGCAGCATTCTCACAGTCACGACTCCCAGAGACAGATGCATTGTGGGATTTGTACTTGCACCACAGCTGGAGGGCCGGAGTTTGCCCGTCTCTTTGTGTGTGGTTTACACTATAGGGCAGGGCTAGGCAACTCCAGCTGTGGTGAAACTACAAATGCCATCATCTCTCGGCCTCTAGGAGTCATGCCTGTGGCTCCCCCAGGCTTGCAGTGCATTGTGGGACTTGTAGTTGCACCACAGCTGGGGGGGGGGCGGTGTTTGCCTACACCTGCCGTAGGGTGCGATTTGTCCCGGCTGTTCATCAATATTACTGCCATGGCACCATTTAGCCCGTAGTCTTAGACATTCACCTACAACAGGGCTGGACAAATTCCAGGAGCCAGGTCGCCTTAAAGGGGAGCTACACTCTCTTGTCCTTTACAGCAGGGGTGGGCGACTCTGGCCTTCAGCTGTGCTTTAACTACAAATCCCATCATGGCTCTGACAGTCATGCCTGTTACCATCAGCCTTGCAGTGCCTCATGGGGCAGTTATAAGATGGATACCTTTCCCCCACCTCCCGGCTGCTCTGTCAATGAATTCTCCTTCCCCTCCGCAGCTGACGGTGCGGGACATGTACACAGCAGTGTTGTTATTTTAAAATCCGCTCACCTGACCCCCGCTGACCAATGAGAAGTGCTTCTGACCAATGAGAGGAGCGTCTGACTAATGAGAGGCGCTTCTGACCCCACTGACCAATGAGAGGCGCTTCTGACCGCACTGACCAATGAGAGGCGCTTCTGACCGCACTGACCAATGAGAGGAGCGTCTGACTAATGAGAGGCGCTTCTGACCGCACTGACCAATGAGAGGTGCTTCTGACCCCACTGACCAATGAGAGGCGCTTCTGACCTCACTGACCAATGAGAGGCGCTTCTGACCCCACTGACCAATGAGAGGAGCTTCTGACCAATGAGAGGAGCTTCTGACTAATGAGAGGCGCTTCTGACCAATGAGAGGCGCTTCTGACCGCACTGACCAATGAGGGGAGCGTCTGACTAATGAGAGGCGCTTCTGACCCCACTGACCAATGAGAGGCGCTTCTGACCAATGAGAGGAGCTTCTGACTAATAAGAGTCGCTTCTGACCAATGAGAGGCGCTTCTGACTAATGAGAGGCGCTTCTGACCGCACTGACCAATGAGAGGTGCTTCTGACCCCACTGACCAATGAGAGGCGCTTCTGACCTCACTGACCAATGAGAGGCGCTTCTGACCCCACTGACCAATGACAGGCACTTCTGACGCCACTGACCGATGAGAGGCGCTTCTGACCCCACTGACCAATGAGAGGCGCTTCTGACCCCACTGACTAATGACAGGCGCTTCTTGCCAAGATGTGCTCCTCATTGGTCAGTGCGGTCAGAAGCGCCTGTCATTGGTCTGCACTGGCAGATTGGTGGAGGTAATTCCATCTTCTCACACTCATCTGGCAAAGTGGAATCGCCCTTTAACGTGGTGGGTTAGGTTCCTCTTTAAAACTGACAGTTGGCACCTCCCGGTGGAGCTTTTCTCTGGTTGGTGCCAATGGGGCTCCTCAAAAGCACTCCGCCGGCTCCTGGATTCCATTTAGTTTTTGGGCCCCGGACTCAGAACCTTGGACCAGACTCGGGACGATAGGAGACGTAGGTGTAGGGAGCAGGTGTAGGTGGGAGGGATCAGGAGCTCAGTCCATTG